CATTTTTCCCCCTTTATGTTTAGTTTCTTACCTTGCCTGGTGACTTTCCTCTGTTGGGCTTCATGGAGCTGTGACCTTCATTGTCTTTTTCTAGGATATTGTTTAGAGTGCTTGTTTGGTCTTCATGAAATTTCTCAGGTGTTCTTTGTCATGGAAGTATCTAATTTCTCCATCGATTTTGAAAGATAATTTTGCAGGATACAACAGTCTAGGTTGGAAGTTATTTTCTTTATGGGCTTGAAATACTTCACTCCAGGCTCTCCTTGACTTGAGAGTTGTGCTGAGAAGTCTGCTGTGGTTCTGATGGGCCTTCCTTTGTAGGTGATTTGTTCTTTTTTCTTACTGCTTGTAGGATTTTGTTCTTCTGTTGGGTTTCTGGGATCTTGACTATTATATGTCTAGGCATAGATTTTGTTTTGATTGTGGCTAGTTGGAGTTCTATACACCTCAGTTAACTGTATGTCCAATTCTCTACCTCTGTTGGGAAGTTTTCTACTATTACTTCTGTGAACAGTTTTTTTTATGTCTATTGCACTTTCCCCTGTTTTTTCATGGACTCCTATCAGTCCTATGTTATTCTTTTTTGCATCATGTAGCAGCTGCTGGATTGATTTCTCATGGTCTCTTACTATTTTTAAGAAATCTCTGTTTTCATGGTCCTTATCTAATATTCTATCTTTATGTCCCCTTAATCTGCTGTGAATACTTTCAATGGAGTTTTTAATCTCCTATAATCTGTTTGAATCTCTTTCATGGAATCCATTTCTTTCTTATGTTGGGTGATCATGGTTTTCATTTCTTTCTTATACTGGGCATTCATGGCTTCCAGTGTGGTTCTGAGCTCATCTATTTTTTTTATCTGTTTCTGTTCTAGAGCCTCTAATCATGTCTTTCACTCTGCTCACCATCTCTGTAGTTATCTGGGAGATTATTTCTGCTTTGAATTGTTCTAGAGCCTCATTCATCTGTTTTGTTACTTCCCATGCTATCACTTCAGGGTGTCCAGGTGGTTGATTATCAGACTTTTCCACCTTGTTTCCCCCCAGAATTTGCCTTTTGTAGGGTGGAAGTCTGAGTTTGTGCCTTGGTTAAATGTCTCCTGATTTTTGTTTTTGGTACTGTCCTTGGTTTAATTTCTGGGTTTGTACTTCAAAATTGTTTATTCTAAGTATCTTTGTTTCTTGTATTTAGAATCCTTGTGGAATGATTGCTTCTCAGAGGTGTCCTCCAGATATATCTGGTCTTTAGGTTTTGAGTCTCTAATGGCTCTGAGGGTGTGTCATTTTCATTATACCAGGAAGGACAACTGATTAGATCAACCACAATACCTTAGCCCATGTGATACAAGCAGCAACACCATAGCTTAAAGCACAGCTTAGAAAATGACAATTTGTGGTAGTTATTAATCTATCATCCTTAACTGTGTGAATTAAATCAAAATTGAGGACTAGCCCAACATATGTTTATAGTGAATGAATTCTTCAATGTAGCAACTCTACCCTTCATGATGGTGAGTGAGAAGGAGTTGGGGAGGGAGGGTTAGATAGGTAGAAGGGTAGGGAAAGGTTAGCAATGAGGCCAGAGGACACAGGAAGATCAGGCAAACTCTAAGAAACTTTTGAAGACCAGAGGAAAAGGCAGAATGAAAGAGCAAAGATGAGAACAGAACAACCTCACAGCAATAGGGAGGCTAGAAACTGTATTTACTTTCCTTTAAAACTAATGACAATTGATAGACGGAAAAAGAGAAGAAAAGTAAAATAAAGAAGAAATCCAAATTAGGACCAGAACATTAACAAAAAGGGCAAGGAAGAACAATATGGGACAGTGAGAGAATGAGTGAGAGAGCAAAAGAAACGAGAAAAGAAAGAAAAAAATGAAGAGACAAAATTTTTAAAAGAGTGGAAAAAAAGTTAAAAATTAAAAATAAGGTGAAAATTTTTTTGCAAATAACAAATAAAAAATAAAAATGAAGGGTCTCCTTCAGGGTATGTCTCTGCTGTCACAATAGACAACATGGGCAGCAGTGTGCAGATATAAGTCAATGAGTCTCACCAAACTATTAGCAGACTGGTGAGATTCTGGCAGATTTCTGGCTGCAAGGCCCAAGTTGAGCTCTCTGTCCTCCTGCAGGGTTGAACTCTTCAAGGTTCTACTGTGGGTTCCAGCTGCCCTTCCCCTGAAGATAGTCCAGGTTCTGATGCCAGGTGATGATCCCTCCAACTTAACAAGCACGGTGGTCTGGTGTGCCTTCTTTGCAGAGATTCTCTTCACTTTTCCAGTGGGCTTCTGCTTTCATTGAGGAGCCTGAGAGAGGCCCTCTTTTTGTTGTTCACTTCTGCTCTATCTTCTGGAGCTCAGGACAATGGCCTTTATGACCCCCCTGTGCCTCTGTAGTGTGGGACCAGGTAGCAGCACAGCCAGGAGGCCAGAGGTGGTGATGGAGGGTGTGGGGTGGGAGGTTGCTGCAGGTGCCCTTGCCATTAAGCTGGTTGCTGTGGGTCGAGTGCAGGGTCAGAGTGGGGGCTCCACGCTGCCGAGGTCCTCACTGTGTGCCAGCTGTTCCCCATAAACAATTTTTAAAGTGTTTTATTTTACAAAAAGTATAAAGAGAATCAGTGATATGTGTGGCAACATCAACTGTCTTTACATAATTGTAATTGGCATCACCAAAAGAATTGAGATGAAGAAGAAAGAAGTGATTAATTTATGGCTGAGAGTTTTCCAAGAGATATAGATAATTATCTGCTATAGTCTATATCTAGAAGTACACTCAAAGCATCATGGGCTCTTAGGTAAGGCTTTTGGGAGTGACTGGATCAAGCAATTGTGATACTGGATCATGGGTGTGTGACACTGGATTAGTCTACTCATTGGGATAGCATAGTTTTGAGTATGGATGGTGGATTTACTGGAGGGAAGGCCCCTCCCCCAAGGCGTGGGTCCCACCAACCAATGGGCTTCTACCCTGAATGGAATAAAAAGGAAAAGAAGGAAAGAAGTCTCCCTGTCTCCTGCCTACCCTGCCATGGACTGTTTCTCTTCTGCGAGGCCCCTCTGCCATGCCACCCTCCCTTGGAGCTGGCAGACTATGGACTGAAACCTCCACAAACTGTGAGCCAAAATAGACCTTTCCTTAACTTGTGAATATTGGGTATTTTGTCCCAGAGACAAGAAAGTAACTAAGATATAATCCAACACTGGAAGTAATATGAATTTACAAAATATATTGAATTAATCTAATAAGTGACAAAGATAGAAAGGAACAAAGAACATATGGAAAAAATGGAAAAGAAATAAGATAATGTACATATAACCTCATTAGTTATTGAATTAAATGTAAGTAGTCTGATAAACACCTACCTTAATTTAGGAGACAGATTGTCAGAGTGGATATAAAGTGATCTAACTATATCACATTAAATTATTTTATATACAGAGATGATTCTACATATAGAAGTTATAATTAGAATCTAGGATACAAATAACAAAAGTCTTACTAATATAGAAATAATATGTGACATGAAAATTAGCAGAGGCCATAAAGTAAGGTGGGAGAAATTGTACATGTATTTATTTGTTAATTCATTTATTTTTAAAATAGCAACTGAGACACTGTCAAAGGCTGCTAAATCAACTTACAATGTATAAATATATTAAATATATATAGATAAGAAAAGAACAAACATGATCAACATTTTGTGTTCATAATATTCTCTCATATAACTTAAATTACTTATGTTTAGATCCTGTTCCCACAGACTTAGATTTGGGATTCTCATCTGGGACCAGTAATTTGCCTTATATGTAAATGACATTGGTAATTTGCATGTAGACATCTTTGTGTGATGTTAAAATACAGCATTTTGACATAACAGTAATTGAATGTGGAGGTGGGAAAAGATGGAATATGCAAATACAGTTGGTCCTTAAAAGAAAAATACAGATTAATAGCCTTCAGGAGCATGGATGAAAATGGCCTAAACAAAACTTCAGTGTAAAATTTTGTAATGCATTGAAATAAAAAACCTGATTCAGTGGGATTAGTTTAATATGAGAAAGGCAATAAATGTGGCATATTATATTAACAAACACAAAACAGAAAAAAGAAACATTTATCAGTAGACAAGTGAAAAATATTTGACAAAGCATAACAAATTCCTGATTAAAAATCAGAATTGCGAATTACATAATTTTGACCCTTTATGTAATATTACTATACATATATTTCAGAGATTTAGAGAACTAAATTAAAATTTTCTGTGGCTATTTTATGATTTATTTTTATCTGTATCCTTTGGAATATTTTTAGATTTTTCAAAATTAATTTTGATGTTACATTATTGGTGCAAAAATTCATAACAGTTGAATCTCTATTATTTCCTTGAATGTGACTTTATTTGGTAATTATATCACAAATCTTATTTTCATGTCTTTGTTACATCTTTGTCCTTTTTTAAAAAAACTTATCTGTTTTTTTCTTTGATTTCTTTTGGTTTTAGTCTAACATAAGTAAAATTTTTAAAATTGAGCTCATTCCTTTTGTATTGATTGATGTAAACATATGTTTACTCCTTAATTTTACTATATTTTTCTACATTAAATGGGTTCTTCATTTTTTTACTGTAGACAAATGGTCTAAGCCTACTTTGAGTTGGTGGTTGAATTTGTATGATAATGTATGCATTATCTTTTTGATGGTTTCTAGAGTTTATATTCTGTTTTTAAGTTTAGTAGTGATTTTGATATCATTATCTCTGGATTTATCAATTTGAGAGCATGTCTTGATTTCCCATCAGGAATGATGAAGGAAATAAAAATTTAAATAATGTGGTACAGCTACATATCAAGTAGTTAAAAGTAAAAAGGGAAACAATGCCAGTGTCGGTGAATATTGGAGCAGTTAGAATTCTATTATGGCTGTATTTAGATGTCCCCACAATGCCTCAGATGGATGAGGTGGGGCTTTCTTTTTCAGAGGTGGCTGAATCTAGAGTGGGGCTAGGGCCAGAGGCACTAGGATTAAGGATGTGAGTGCTTCACGCCCTAAGTAGTCTGAATAAGATAAAAAGGCAGAAAGATGTTGGTAAGGTCTCTTGTTGCTTTTGCTGTCTTCCACCGCCATGAACTGTCGCCTCTCTGCTAAACCATCCTGCCTCAGAGACACCCGACTATGAACTGAAACTGCTACAAAGTGTGAGCCAAATAAACCTTTTCCCCTTTAACTTTGGGTGTCGGGTATTTTTCTTAGCAGTGAAAGAAAAGTCACTAAGACAAGTTCCCACACACCAGATGTGAGTGTGCAGGTTAAAGCCGCTTGGCAATGTGTACAATAAATGAATACTGCAGCCCGCTTACCAAGCAGTTTCATATATCAACAGAAATGTGTGCATATGTTTAGCAAAACGCATACAAGGGAATGTTCCTTGCTACCTCCAGCTTATAAATACCTTCTGTAAAATTAATAAATGGTCAAAATGACTCTTTGTTGTTAGAAGTCAGGATGATGGCTACCTTTACTGGAAGGTAGTTTATTGCAAGAGTCCAGAAGGTAGGGTTCCATAAGGCTTTTAATGTATTTCCTGATTGGGTGTGGTTATACAGTTAAATTTAATAAAGCTATCTGTTTTTGATTTGTACAGTTTTTATGTCTATTCTGCAATCAAATGTTTCAAAACTGTACTTAGTGCTGGTGAGACCAGGTAAGTGTGTGCATCTTACCTTGCTAATGGAAATGCCAATTACCAATCATTTTGGAAATCAAACACACAATTGCTATTTACATTTAATATAATTGCATAGTTATGTTTTAGGTGTTGGGGATCAAAACCAGGGCCTAGCAAGTGCTAGGCAGGAGCTCTACCACTGAGCTACATCCCCAGACCCTATAATTGCATAGTTTTAAATAGAAATCCACTCTTAGGAATCTGCTTTGTGGGAATAAACCAAGCAATATAAAATTATACATAAAAGAGAATATTTGATGTACCCTCCAAAATGTAAACAACTTTAATATCCATGATTATCAAAATGATTGAAATAACTATAGTGCAGCTGTTCTATGGCATATTATGCAGCTATTAAATAGAATATGCTTTCTGCATAAGTGATGAACTGGAGGATTTTCCATGATGTGTTATTAACTGAGAAGCACATTAAAATCCAATGATTCATTTCAATGTATAACAGATATTCATTTCAGTTTATTTGTTTCAATGCAATAATATGAGCATGAAGATCTAGGTTTTTAAAAATATACAACAAAAATTTGAAAGTTATTCTTTGTTCACATAAAGATCGTAGGTTAAACAAAATTATATGAAGCAAAAATGAGATGATTATTATGGTGTATCTATGTATATAAGTATGCATGTATGTACAAATACATATATGTTGAACATAAAATATTTATTATTTAATTATTAAAGAAAAATTTCTAGTTACAATGTAGTATTGTGTCATGATCCCACATACTTATAATTTATTTGAGTGTAAAAATTAACTAAATAATATACCACAAAATATTAAAGATTGTTCTCTGTAGTTGAGGGCTGAGCATTTTGTGCTACTTCGTGTATATTTTCTATATTTTGCTAAATTAACTCAAACATTTAAAGTATATAATGGAAATAAAAGAGACAACAAATAAAAATTGAACTAAGAAATTAGGAAAGAAGTTAAACCTAAATTAGCAGAATGTTTTGGAAAATAAAACAAGCATGGATACATTCTCATGTAGGGACATGAAAAGTCAATGTCCAGATTTTTGTGCTCAATATTTTCTTCTGTTTTTTTTCCCCTGACCTGTCATGTTCTAAAAAATTAAGTTTTTGGCAAAAATAATATTAAGTTGCTATCTTACTTATGTCAAATATTTTTTAATTGAATCAATTCTTTACACCTAAAGAATAAAATGTAAAAGGTCTAGGAGAATATGTGAATATTTAGATTAAAAAGTATGAGAGTGACAAGCATTTTTGATACAAGAAACAAAACTCAGAAACGAAATTGAGTGCCTTAGTTTCTTTCTTGTTGCTGGGACAAAGTACCCAACACCCTCAAGATAATGGAGGACCAATTTATTTTGGCTCACAGTCTGTAAAGGTTTCAGTCCACAGTCTGCTAGCTCCAAGGCAGGGTGGCATGGCAGGCAGAAGGGCATAGCAGAGGAGAAACAGTCCATGGCATGGCAACAGGGAGCAGGAGGCATCAAAGGAAAAGGGAGATATACACCACTCCAGGCCACTCCCACCTCTTGTCACCAGGCTTCAACTCCCAACAACACATTTAGCTATAATCCTATCAGTGGACTAATCCAGTATCACACCCATGATCCTATCACCTCCCAAAAGCCCCACTTATGAGCACATGAGGCTTGGGGAGGGGGCATGAAGATATAAATCATAACAGTGAGTGACTTAATTTTTTTTTTTTACAAGAAGAAAATACCACAGGATGAATCAAAAGCCAGACAGTGAACTAGAAAAATATTTGTTGTGCTACCTCTGTCAGGCAAATAAGCCAGTGACAATGGCTAACAAACTGAGATTTAGAGATACCTGTACTGACACAGGTAGAGAATTCAAAGATCATTCTCTGTTAAAGAAATGTGTATTCAAAGACAGGATTGCAGTTTTCACTTGTTAGAGAAGCAAGTTTCCAAAAGTTTGGTAATGCACATTTTGATAAAGATTTATACATTGTTGACAACATTTATAAATGGTAATGAAATCTTTGGAATGAAGTTTGCAAGTTTATGTACTTAGGGTTTAAAATGCACAATTCTGTTGACCCATTGTTTTGAATTCTAGGTTTTGTCTTTTCATATAAAAATACTATCATAGAGCACATTTTTGGATAACAGCCAAAGATCGGAGAGAATCTAAATTTCATTCAACAGAAATCTGCTTCGCTAAATGTATGGTAAGTCTGTACACTGAAATACTGTGCATGTTTGGATCTTTCAAAAAGAATGTGTGGTGGGACAAAATATCTATATTTGAGAAGGTTATTAGACTACATATTAGGTAAATATGGTTAACAGATTATATAGTAAATGAAAAAATGGGAGGTAAAACTGTTTGTAGTATGATCTCATTTCATCAAATATTATTTAAATACATTTTATTTTATACAGATAAACATTTCCAGAAGGATGAGTAAGATGCTGTTTAGCTATAGATTCTGCTGGAAATCATCTTGGGAATTTTGGACTGGAGACAAAACTTTGTTCTACAATTTGCTTTAGGTGTTTATGTCCACGTTGTATCTTAATTAACAAGAAATAATGCACTAGCAGAGGACTGGGAAGAGCAGATGGAAGGACAAGAAAAGACACGAGCAAGGGACAATAAAGAAAAATTGCACTTTAAAAGAAAAGAGATCACAATTGGAAGTGTTTAACAGTTCACTTTGCTTTTGTTTGCTGGAATCTAAGCCTCCTGTACTGATGTTCCCTAAACCTTTAGGAAAGTATTGGTCAGCAAAGACTTGGTAGGGTAATGTGGCAACCAGGGAACGGAGCTAAGTTTAGAGCCAGTGACAAGCACTTAATTAAGTCAGAAGCTGGAATCTGACTTTGCTCAAAGTGTGCATTCATTTCAGAGTCAGCGTTGAAATTTTCCAAAAAAGGGTGAAACAGGGCATGAAACCAATCTTATCTTGATCTTAGGAAGCAAGAGTCTCTAATGTTGAGTTGCTCCTATATTAAAAGTAGATTCTTAAGTTAATTGATGTAACTGCACATCAAGGAATTTATTTATTTTTTTGTACAGGGGATCGATCTCGGGTCCTTGCGTTCCGCAGCAGGTGGTGAAACCACTGAGCTAAAAAAATCCCCGGCCACATCAAGGAATTTAAAAGGAAGATGAACTTAACTTGAGATGGCTTTACAGATGAGATATGAAGAAAAAAAGGACTTTGGAACTGTACGGGGTATTGATTTGAAGAGACGCGAAGGAAATGAATAAATGGGATGTCTTGTCTCTTCTCTGAAATTTGCAGTTTTTCTTTGCTAGAAGCAGATCTGGGTCTAGAGTGCATTCCTTCTTGGAGCCCTGGGGTCTGGGACGGGCCTTTCATCACACACCAGGGGGCAGCGCCGGGGATGCATGGATGGTGCTGCAGCCCCAGTCTCAGGGCCCTGCCCGGCCTGGGCTCCTGCTGATGCTCTGCAGCATGTGCCTTCCAGTAGGTGCAGACCCCTGGGAGAGGCCCTCATAAGATGCTGTCAAGCTTGGGCTCTCAGATGAGTACAAGAGACTTGAAGAAGAGACTTGAACCCTATATTCCACTCCTGCCTCTGTTGCTGATAGTTTTAATAACTACTGGGAAACTGAGATAAAAAAAAACTGAGCCTTTTTTATGTGGATTTAACGGTATGACATTTGCCTCCACAGGTATTTTATTTTGGGACCCGAAAATGGAAGATGCCAGGTGTGTGTGAATGATTTGCTTTGACGTGATATACCCTAGTTCTATTCCCCTTGTCTCCCACTTCTTTTTCATGGTGTCCATCATTTAACCTTATAATTATTACATAGTGAATTGATCTCTCAACTTTTGTATATGAAACATTTCTTCCTTGAAAAGTACAATTGGCACATCAATTACTCTATAATACTGTACGGTAAGCTAAATGTTTAAAAACATTTTCATTTTGAAGATGTTAAAATTAATCCCATTTCTCATTTTTTTATTTGAGCAAGCAGCTTGATGTTCTCCAAAACTCCAGTATTAAAGTAGCCCTTTGAGACCTATTTGCTCTTTCAATTTTAATTATTTAAGTTCATATACCATCTTGCAAATGACTTGATTCTATAATGCTCTTATAAAATATAGTAATAAACATAAAGTTCGTTAAGAAAAAATTTTAAAGTGACTTAATAAAAAAACAAAATTTCATAACAAAATAAGAGAATACTAATATTAATGCACTGTGTATCATTATCTTCAAGACATAGGCCAAAACAATTCTTACAAAAAAGAGATAATAATACAAAATTTTCTTTACAATGAACTAAGATAAAGCAGTAGTATAAATGAAATAAATTAGCATACATATTGAAATCTTTTTGAAACAACAGAATATATATTTGGAAAGTGTTATGAACTTCTCCCTACTTCCTATTTATCTCTCTTCTATTTTGCTCTTTATTTGCATATACATATATATTTTCTTATATAAATGAAACGGTAAGATGTTTAAACTTGTGTGTCTGATTTATTTCACTTAACATTATGTTCTCAAGTTGCATCCATTTACCTATCAATGCCTCAAGTTTATCTTTTTTATGGCAGCTTAGTACTCCATTGGTATAAATACCACATTTTCCTTATCTATTCATCTGTTGAAAGACATATCTGCTGTTTCCAAGATCTAGCTATTATAAATTGTGCTGCTATAAACATGTTATGCATGCATCCCTGTAGGATAAGGATTTTATCTCTTTGGGGAAGATACCTAGAAGGGGGATTATCTAGGTCAAATGGAATTTTTATTTTTAGTTTTTTGAGTAAACACCACACTGATTTCCATAGTGGTGACATGAAATGAATAGACATGTCTCAGAAGTATAAATGGCCAGTGAATACACGAAAAACTTCTCAAATACGTCGTTACTCTGTCCTTCACTAGCCAGTCCCACAGCAAATCTCCTTCCATTTTGCTGGGCTCGGGGAGTCATTTGTGGTTTTCCTCTTCCCTGAAGTGGAAACTAGTTTGCCAGTTCCCGGTGGACACAGCTTGGGTTCATCCTCTAGCCTCTCGTTCTGTGAAGCTGGAAGCCAAAAGTGGGTTTGTCTGGGTTTGGTACGATGTCAGCACGAAAGGGGTGGCAGTGGTTTGAACCGTGTCAGGCCTGGATCTTGGTGTATGGTTTTCATTTATTAAGAGTTAATGAAAGCTACTCTCATATATTACAACCCTACCTCTTTCAAACTATACACAATATACATGTCTATTTAAAGAGTGAGAGTCACTCAAAGGGTAAAATAGTTATTTCTGTGTTGCAGAACTGTCATACTTCTCACTTTTCCCTATGTTTTCTAACATTATCCATGGATTTAGTCAATTCAGAGAAAAAAACACACAGTGTCACAATTTAGAATGTTAGTATTCCTCACCTATCCTCAGCTCCTTCCTCACCCACTATCAACTCTCTGTTCATTCACCTGAATTTTTACCTGTGGGCTAGATCAAGAGGAAAAGACTTGTAAGGAAAGATAGAGTTTTGGATTTGTTGAGAGCAGGAAAAAAAGAGGTGGAAATTTTGTGGGTCCAGGTCTGAGTGTCCTGTGCCTCTCTGTCTTTCAGGGCTACCACAGGCCATTGTGGGTAGCACAGCTGTGGCCGATGATGGTGTTGGAATACCAGATGACAGATCTGGTTATCTGAAACTGCCTCGTTGTCAGCAAGAAAATGATAAAAAGCATTCAGTTTTGCAGGCATGTGTTCTGTCCACTTTGTATGAGATGAATCCCTTACATTGTCCAAAACCTTGATAGACCCCCACTGGAACAAAATTTTGCTTTTTGTACGTGTTAACTGATGAAACGCCTAATTACAAGGGCCACTCTGAATGTGCATTAATCAAACCAGATTTTCATGCACGTAGAGCAGAATGGTGCACCTGCGTGTGCCACACGGCTGCCGCGAGTATTCGGTTTGCGTATGGAGCCATAGACTTAACACAGACAGTCCAAGCACCCAAGAGGCCTGAAGCCTACCATGAGGTTCCTCATTGTTTCGGTTTAGTCAGCACTTCATAGAAATAAAAGCAGGATAGACTGAGGGAGTCAGATGGAATTATCCACAGCCTAATAACTGAAATTTTGGATAAACTTCAAAAGCCAGTCCAGTGTGGAATTTTTAATCAATGATATTTTGATATGGCATCCAGAGGCTGTTGCTTCACAGGAAAGGATCCCCACCACGGAAGGACTTCCTGGTGAGCCAGCGTTTTCCAGGCTCAAGACTCAATCTCTGCTACGTGAATGTCCCTTTACCCCACTTCAGAGTTCTCCCCATCTCTGCTTTACTTACTGCCACGGCTGGGAAGTGGGATGTCTCAGAGTTTCACGTCCCGGAAGCTGGGCCCCGACTGTGGCAGTGGGAGGAAGGACGAGGCTCTGAGAAGAACCCTGGCGGGGTCCTAGGCCGCGGGGAAACACCTCGAAGGAATTCGCGCAGCTCTGCAGTTCGTGCTTAAAAGATGTCGGTTGTTGTAAAGGACAAGCCGAGGGCCTCCCTTCTCGCCGCTTTCGGTCCCGCCGTGTGATTGCTTCCGTCCCCTGCCACGCGCCCTCACTCCAAGCGCAAAGGACGACGCGATGCTGGGCTCCGGCCTTGAGTCTGCGATCTAAACACCTGTTCTGATTTCTCTCGCTGCGGTTATTTTACCATAGCAACGCAAAGCCAACTATTAAGATGGTTTTCACTGCCTCGGGCTGAGAAGCAGCTCTGACCAGTGCAGTGCTCTGCTGAGCAGCCTGTGTTTCTGTGCAACTTTAATTTTCTTTTGCTATCATAAGTTCAAATTAAGTAAATCCTCAAACAATTGTAGAAGTCTCCTTTGCAAACCTTTAACACTCCTACAACTTGATGCCAACAGCTGTTTAGTAAACCAAATATCCATCCTCTCATTTACTAATTAATGGAAGGGGACGACAGTATGTTTTAAATAGTGTTTCTGAGACACTAAGAAAACAGTGAGTCATGAGATAATATAATTTAGAATAACAGTGATTTCCAATTCAGCAACTAGAGACACATTTCGACCTTTCTTCCAATGCTATCTTATGCTAACATTAACTGCTCTATAACCAAATTCTGATTAAAATGCTTTTTAAGAAATTGGGCCTTGATTTAGCTCAGTGGTTCCATGGCCTGCCTTGCAAGCGCAAGGTCCCAAGTTCGATCCCTGGTACCAAAAACAAAACAAACCCAAAAACCAAAACCCAAAACCAAAAAACAGCTTACCTCATCTGAGGTTCTGTTTCAGGTAACTTTTTCACATGTAGAAGTATGGCATGTCTTGTTTGGCACAGTGGGGCACGCCTGTAATCCTAGCACTCAGGAGGCTGAGGCAGGAGGGTCACCATGAGTTGGAGGCCAGCCCGGAATACATAGTGAGTTCAAGGTCAGCCTGAAACATGTAACAAGACCCTGTCTCATGTCTCAGCCTCCCCTCAAAAAAAGTATGGCATGTCTAATAAACTCTAAAGCCAGTGGGATTAAATAAGCAAGATTTTCCTAATGGTCACAATTGGATTAGTTCCACCAAAGTAGCTGTGTTTGTACTCTCTAAAAAAAGTGAATTAGCTTTAACTTATTGTTTTTATAATGATCATGGGCTATTGGATAGAGTAAAATAAATTTAATTTAGTTATAACATTTATAGTTCATCTTTCACAAATTCCCAGGTAGAAAATTAAGTGAAGATCCACCTAAGGTATGGTTCACCTCTACAAGCAACCTAAGGGAAAGATTCTACATAAAGATGTCTTGAATTTTCCTAAAATTTAGTCATGTGAGTAAGGGAACTGAGCAAGCGAGGGATATCCTAATGTAATGGACCAAATGGTGAATTTGAGACTCTAGGCCTGGGGCCAGGATGGCTCATACACCTCGGTCCTTATCATTTCTCACTCTGCTGAGCTCTGCTAAGCTGAAAAGACTGATAAGAGTTACCCAAATATTGTTCTGTCCCCAGCGTTATATTACCCGGAGTCTCTGCAGCTATGACAAGAATCTAAAGATAATAGCCAGCACACCTGAAAGAAAATGCACTTACAAATATAATGGACCTTTATACATAGTCTAGTGATACTCAGAGAAAACTTCATGTGGTAAAGAGCCACAGACCGGAACCTGATTGGAGCCCCATTGTTGTCTTTGACAAGGTTGCTCTTTTTTGGCTTAAGTAGTAACAAAAGAAAGAATTGGCCCCTCTTTCTTGCAGAGCAAGACAGAATGCTGAAGCAGAACAAAAATTTCCCTGTGTGTGTTAAGTTCAGGAGCCTAAAAGCCCCCTGTGACAATTACAAAAACCTTCTGAGCCTTATTCCATTAGGTTGCTTCCTCTATTGAAATAAAGACACACTAGAGTACCACTTTAATATTATCATTTATTGTTTATTGATACTCTATTAACTTGACATTTTTCATCTGTCCATTGAAAGTAGATCCCTTGAAGGAGACTTAGAATTAGAAGTGATGGTTTCAAGGTGTTCAGGAAATTATCTAGATATCTGACAACCAAAGCTACATTAAACATATAAGATTGCAACGAAACTGTGATGTTGTGATTACTGTCATGGCATATTGCCGTTCATCCTATAGCCTATGCCACAGAGTTATCTTGGATTCCTCCACCGTCTACAATATAAATGTATCCCAGAGCTCATCTGTCTTCATCCCACCATGGCTGCTCCAGTTTTTGCTGTGATCAGGAGGGCTGCGACTCCTGCTCACCTGGGCCTTTGCTGCTGGCC